TTCATGCCTATAATCCCAGCACCTTGGGAAGCTGAGGTAAGAGGATTGCTTGCACCCAGGAGTACAAGACAAGCCTAGGCAACATAGGGAGACCTAGTCTCTACAAAAATAAAAATAAATTAGTCAGGCATGATGGGGGGCACCTGCAGTACCAGCTACTCAGGAGGCTGAGATGGAAGGATCTCCTGAGTCCAGGAGGTCAAGGCTGCAATAAGCTGTGACTGTGCCATTGCATTCCAGCTTGAGCAACCAAGTGAAATCCCAACTCAAAAAACAAAACAAACAAAAAAATCCATGCTTGGAACCAGTTAATAGTAATAAACCAAAGGAAATCATCTGAGTTGAGAGGAGAAATACTCTAGGAAAACTGGGAGTCTCACTGTCCACTAAAGTAGTCACCAGCCACGTGTAGCTGCTGAATGCTTGGAAGGCATGAGTGCAAACTGAGACATGCTGTACAATATAACAAGGTCAAAGACTTAGTACAAAAGACAAATATAGCTCATTAATTTTTCATGTGTACAATGTGAAATGATACTATTTTCAATATTGGGTTCAACATAAGAGCTACAATTAATACCACTTACTGTTTTTCGGAGTGTGCCTACTGGAAAATTATAAATTACATGCATGATTCACGTGATATTTCTATGGGCAGTATGGCTTTAGAACTTCATGTGGGATTTTTGTTCTTATTCACAACTCCAGTTGACATTTGCCTCCACTTCGTGCCCAGATCACAATGATGCTGTTAGCAACCGGTGCTTGACAATACTCTTCCAGCCCAGGACTTTGCTCTGACCATTCACTCTACCTCGGATGTTCACTCCCCTAAACCTTCTCACAGATGGCTTCTGCTTGACTTTCTGATCTCTTCTCAAATGTCCTTTCTCCAGAAGGGCCTGCCCCAGCCACAGGCTGATCACATTCACCTGTCCTCCCAGCACCTGTGTGTCTTGTCAGCTTTCCCAGCTGTCTTCCTTCCAGCTGTACTATGAATCCCATGAAACAGACCATGGGCTCATCCCTGCAGTTCCTGAACTCAGAATAGCACCTCACTCACAGCTGACCCTCAGTAGATATTTCCTGAATGGCTAACTGCACTAGCCTTAAATCTGGTTAAAATTGTTTAAATGGTGTTTCAACTTGGCGCACTTTGATTTAGCCAACTGAGCACTGCTGGGGCCAGTCACAGCTGAGCAGTGGGGCTAAGGAAAATGTCCTGGTCTTGTCTTGCATTAAAGAGCTCAGAACTCAGTAGGTGCCAAAGACAAAGATGTCAGCAAACGGAGTTGTCTGTTGTTTCATTTCACTGTGTATACTGCTAAGGAAATAACCCAGTGGAGGCCAGAACAAGGTAACCTCAAAGATCAGGCTCCGTGCTTACCAGTAGCTGCAGATGACAGTGAAAAAGCCAGCTTCTCTGTGCTCTTCTGTTTGTGAAAAACAGATGGACCATTCCAAGGAACTGCAATTATGGGCAGGAGCAGGGTGTATATTTCTAGCTGTGGGAGACTCTAAATTAGAAGATACTTTGAGTCCAAAGGCACATGTTTTCAGAGGATTTTAAGGGATAACAAACCTCTTAATATATCATTAGATTATAAAAACAAGTTCTGGACAGAACCCGCTTTATTTATATATAACCTAGAAATGTACATGAGAAAGACAACCTGTACCAAATGGTTAACCTTGGCTACCTCAGGCTTATGGGGAAGGGTGACTAATAAGTTACTATAAATAGTTCCCTCACATATTTCTACATAGTTTTTATTTATTACAATAAACATGGATAGATTTTGTACTTTCAAAAAAATGAATCAATGGTCAGGTGCTGTGGCTTACACTTGTAGTCCCAGTGTTTTGGGAGGTTAAGGAAAAAGGATCCCTTGAAACTAGGAATTTGAGACCACTGGACAACATAGCGAGACCCTTTCTCTCCAAAAAAAATTGAAAAATTATCTGGGCATGGTGATGCATGCCTGTAGTACCAGCTACTTGGGAGGCTTAGGTGGGAGGATCGCTGGAGCCCAGGAGTTCGAGGCTGCAATGAGCTATGATTGTGTGACTGCACTCTAGCCAAGGTGACAGATTCTGTCTCCAAAAAGTACTTAATAAATAATAATTTGGCTGGGCTCAGTGGCTCAGCCTGTAATCCCAGCACTTTGGGAGGCCGAAGCAAGTGGATTGCCTGAGTCTGCGGGTTTGAGACCAGCCTGGGCAACTTGGCAAGACCTTGTCTCTACAATAAATTAAAAAAAAAAAAAAAAAATTGGCCAGGTGTGGTAGTGCATGCCTGTAGTTCCAGCTACTTGGAAGGCTGAGGCGGAAGGATTGCTAGAGCCCAGCAGGTCAATGCTGGAGTGGTCATGAGCATGCCACTGTACTCCAGCCTGGGCGACGGAGTGAGACTCCAACTCAATAAATAAATAAATAATGCTAAAAAAAGGAATAAAGTAGTTTTGATAAAGAAATTAAAAACAAAACACCACAAAGTTTTCTATATTCAATAAGGTCTATTTCTCAGGTCTGGAATTTTTTTTTTTTTTTAATCTCAGTTCTGTGACTCACCTACTAAGGCAAAGATCTGCTTCCAGCCTGAGGACCTAAAAACAGGAAGTAAAGACTGAGATCACTTTCTGGAGAATTTGATGGTATCATAGCTCCCTGAATGCCAGTCAAGGACATAAATATATATATATATCTCACAACTCTCAGGTCAGGAGCGGTAGCTCACCCCTGTAATCCCAGCACTTTGGGTAAAGGCAGAAAGGTTGCTTGAGCCCAGGAATTTGAGGCCAGACTGCGCAACATAGCGAGACATTGTCTTTACATAAATTTAAAAATTAGTTGTGTGTGGTGGCACACACCTGTAGTTCCAGCCCCTTGAGAAACTGAGCAGAAGGATCTCCTGAGTCCAAGAGGTCGAGGCTGTGGTAAGCCGTGATCATGCCACTGCAATTCAGCCTGGGCAACAGAATGAGACCTTGTCTCAAAAAACAAACAAAAAACTATCTTGCAATAGTTAGTGCTTTCTTAACCTCATTAATTGAGAAGCTACCCTTTATTGAGGGTACCTACTCTAAACCAATAATTAGTTTATATCATCCTATTTTATACTCCAATCAACCCTTAAAAGGTAGGCATATTACCCTCACTTATCAGATGTAGCAGCCTCTGGGAGGCTTGATGAATTGCCTGAGGACACAGACCAATGGTGAACCTTTCCAATCTCATGCTAATTTCACCACCCACTGCTACCTGTTTTTTAAAGAATAAGGTATAATGAGTTTGGGCCACAGTCCCAAAGGACACAGTCCCAAACACTATTATGCTGAATATTAAAATCTGAAAGCTCAAAATTCTAAAAAAAAATTTTAATCATTATTTAAAAGATACTTATTTAAATTTTTAAAGAGAGGATTTGTGTAAGAGACATATAAAAACACAACAGAACACTTCATAGACTACACAATAAAATAGGCAATAATGACACATATTTTTGCAAACATAAACACTTGGGTATACTAACAATAGTCACATAAGAACAGACTGAATAGTCATAAAGAAATTGCTTATTTAACTGGCTATCTGAAATACCATGATGGATAACCTAAATCTTTTGATAAAATCAATCAAAAACATCAGAAGAAAAGCCTGTCCTAGCACTAAGAGAGAGACCAATCTGCCTTCTGTATTTGCTCTCTCTAGACCCTGGCCAACTGGATGGTGCCACCCACATTCAGGACAGCTCTTTCTCACATGATCCACTCAAACTCACACACTAATCTCCTCTGGAAAAGCCATCACAGATAAACCCCCAAATAATACTTTACCAGGTTTCTAGACATTCCCTAAGCCAATCAAGTTGACACCTAGAATTAAGTCCACAAGTTCATCCCAATGTCATTTTTGCCAAGTGTCATTTTGGCACCCATATGCAACTCCTGAAACCATATTAAACTTTCAAATAAAGAAAATAATAAAGTAATAGTTCTGTCTGACATGATGAAACTATCTTGCATACAACAGAAAACGCACTAATCGTGATTTTTAAGGTTTTACATGTTAGGGATTTAGACTTACGGCATTTGAGATTGTATCTTTCGGGACTGATCAGCACTGGGTACAACGATGTGTTTTGCGATAGGTTCCATAGATGAATTAAACTCTATTTGCAATGGCAGCCCAATTATGGACACCTGTGAGAGCCTTTGTCTCTCCAAAAGCACTTTTTCAACTAGTCTTCCTTGGAATCTGATAGTCCACTCATAGAATATGTCTTATTAGATAAGGCATTGGATCCCTTGAGTTTCACTCTCTAAGCACAGAGACCCTTAGAAATGGCTAACATGTAACATCATAAATCAAAAACACCATCAAGTGAATTAGTTATCAGGAAAATGCATCTAGAAAGCTTCTAAGGGAATAAAACTGGTGAGAGTTGATGAGGGAGGGTGAGAAGGGATAATTTTAGAGCAGAGTCAGGAATTTTCCTCAGGGGTGTCATTGTGGGGCCATGGATAACTAAGGGACATGGAGAAGCCAGATGCTGATAAGAAAGGTGCCACTAAAGGTGCATGTCACCATCTGGTCAGGCGTGGACTCAGTTACTGTGCTAATGGGTCAGGGGCAGGCACAGAGCAGAGAAAACTGGTACCTGTGTGGTTTATCTCCCAAAGAGTGTATTACCCATCCCATCTATGAGTTCTGCAAATGCTGCCATTTGTCACAAGCAGGGTACTTTCCCTATGGCTCACTGAGTGGAAACCAGCCCCCCCACCCAGAACTTGGTTCAGAAAGCGTGTTCACCAGGAGTCTGCCTAGAGTGTCTTTCTCAGACTGAGCACTAGGCGCCAGCTCCTGGGCATTTGGTTGGGAGGGTTGGAATTAGTTTACAAAGCTAACGAATCTTATCTAGTAGTAGATTTCTAGATGCAATCTGGACAAAAATAGCATCTTCTCTCTTACATAAATAGGATGTGCTTGTCTTTCCACAGAAGAAGCGAACGTTGAAGGGTTCCATTGAACTCTCCCGCATAAAATGTGTCGAGATTGTGAAGAGTGACATTAGCATACCATGCCACTATAAATACCCGTTTCAGGTGAGTCCAGTAGGTGGGTAGTTCACTGTATTCTGGACCATGGTTCAAATCCTCAGTCACTGTGAGAGAGGGTGGAGAAGGGCTGGCTTTCTGGTTCAGGCTTAGATCCTAGACCAAGCACATAAGAAAACTTCCATGTTCATTCATTTTTTTTTTTTTTTTTTGAGTCAGGGTCTCTCTCTGTCACCCAGGCTAGAGTGCTGTGGCATGATCTCGGTTCATTGCAGCCTCAACCTCCTTGGCTCAGGCACTCCTTCTGCCTCAGCCTCCTAAGGAACTGGGACTACAGGCATATGCCACCACACCTGGCTAATTTTAAAATTTGTTGTAAAGATGGTGTCTTCCTATGTTGCCTAGGCTGGATTTGTGTAAGAGACATAAGAGCTCAAGCAATCCTCCCACTGGGGCCTCCCAAAGTGCTGGGATTACAGGCATGAGCCACCACACCTGGTAAAATATCTTTAGAGTCTTGATCTTGTTTGTGACTCTTGGTCTCTGTGGCACTGAAGGTGTGTATATGCCCCTGCAGAGTACCATTCTTGTTTGCCAACTGAGGGATGAATATTCCATTTTTAATGTGGCATAGAAAAGAACTCTTTTTTTTTTTTTTCCTCCTTTTCTTTGAGTCTGAGTCTTACTCTGCCGCCCAGGCTGGAATATAGTGGCACCATTACAGCTCACTACAGTCTCCATCTCCTGGGGTCAGGTGATCCTTCTGCCTCCAGCTTCCAAGTAGCTGGAACTATAGGCATGCACCACCATGCCCAGTTAATTTTTTGTTTATTGTAGAGATGAGGTCTCACCAAGTTGCCCAGGCTGGTCTCGAACCCCTGGACTCAGGCAATCCTCTTGCCTCTACCTCCCAAATGCTGGGATTACAGGCGTGAGCCACTGCATCCGTCTTTTCATTTTTCTTTCTTTCTTTCTTTTTTTTCTTGAGTCAGGGTCTCACTCTGTCATCCAGGCTGCAGTGCAGTGGCATGATCATGGCTTACTGCAGCCTTGACCCCCTTGACTCAAGCAATCCTCCCGCCTCAGCCTTCCAAGTAGCTGGAAATACAGGTGTGCACCACCACACCCAGCTAATTTTTTTTTATTTATTGTAGAGATGAAGTCTCACCAAGCTGGTCTCCAACCCTCCTGGGCTCAGGCAATCTTTTCACCTCCATCTCTCAAAGTGCTGAGATTACAGACATGAGCCACTGTACCAGGCCTAGAAAAGAACTATCTGCTAGAAAAGTGACCCCAGTGAATTGGAATTTTTAGGACTGAAAATAAAAGGAATGACATGTATTTCCCAGATGTTCAAAATCCCCATTTTAAACGAGAGCCTGACAAAAGCCAATGAAATTTAAAGGAGGGTTGTTAATGGTATTGTACCAATGTCAATTTCCTGGTTTTGAAAATGTGCTATGGTTATATATGATGTTATCAGTGTGGAAAAGTGGGTGAACTCTGTACTATTTTTGGAGCTTCTTGTGAGTCTTAAACTATTTCAGGCTGGATGTGGTGGCTCAGCCTGTAATCCCAGTACTTTGGGAGACCGAGGCTAGAGGATTGCCTGAGCCCGGGCGTTTAAGACCAGCCTGGGCAACTTGGTGAGTCCTCATCTCCACAGTAAATCACAAAAACTATCTGGGTGTGGTGGCGTGCATCTATAGTTCTAGCTACTTGGAAGGCTGAAGTGGAAGGATCACCTGAGCCCAGGAGGTGGAGGCTATGGCGAGCCATAATGGTGCCACTATATTCCAGTCTGGGTGGCAGAGTGAAACGTCAACTCAGTGAAATTTAAAAAGCAAGTTTTCTTTTTTTTTTTTTTTTTGAGTTGGAGTCTTGCTCTGTCGCCCAGACTGGAGTGCAGTGGCTGCTCCCGGCAACTGCAGCCTCGACCTGCTGGACTCCGGTGATCCTTCCACCTCAGCCTTCCGAGTAGCCGGAATTACAGGCGCACACTTCCCACGCCCGGCTAAGTTTTTGATTTTATTGTAGAGATGAGGTCTCGCCTGCCCAGGCAGGTCTCGAACCTGAGGGCTCAGGCAATCCACTCACCTCAGCCTCCCAAAGGTGTGGGATTATAGGCTGAGCCACTGAGCCCAGCTAAAAAAGCAAGTTTTTTAAAATCCCTATTACACATTTGCTATCTAATATCTTAGTCTTTTGCATGCCAGAACAATTTTTTTAATCACTAAAAAATTAAGATAAGAAGTAAATGTGCTTTCTAGTTAAGAGGAGGACTTGTTCCTGCTGTTTGTTTATTTATCTCTTTTGGGTTGGAGTCTTACTCTGTTGCCCGGGCGGGAGTACAGTGGCACACTCACTGGTCACCCCAGCGTCGACCTGCTGGGCTCAGGTGATCCTTCCACCTCAGCCTTCCAAGTAGACGGAACAACAGGCATGCGCTACCACACCCAGCTAATTTTTGATTTTGTTATTGTAGAGTCAAGTTCTCACCAAGTTGCCTGGGCTGGTCTTGAACCCTCAGGCTTAGGCAATTCACTCGCCTTGGTCTCCCAAAGTGCTGGGATTGTAGGCTGAGGCACCGAGCCCGGCCGTTCCTGCTGTTTTAATTCAGTGATCACTTACTGGTGGTGTGAAATCTGAGTTGAGTGTTTTCACAGCACCCAAACAGGCTGGGTATGGTGGTTCATGCCTGTAATCCCAGCACTTTAGAAGGCAGAGGCGAGAGGATTGCCTGGGTCAAGGGACTCGAGACCAGCCTTGGCAACTTGGTGAGACATCATCTCTACAATAAATTAACAAAATTAGCCGGGTGTAGTGGCTCACACCTGTAGTTCCAGCTATTTGGAAGGGTAAAGCAGAAGGATTGCCTGAGCCCAGCAGTTTGAGTCGGCAGCGGTCATGAATGTGCCACTGCACTCCAACCTGGGCAACAGAGTGAGACTTCAACTCAAATTTAAAAAGCACCCAAACATCTGGATGAAAAGGATACAGGTCTCTTAGTCACTCAAGTCTTTGCCTATATGATGACCAACACCTGAGACCCCGCTTTCAACCTATTAACCTGCTGTCAGTCAGCCACCTCTGAGCATACCGCTCACCTTGGACTCTGTGTGTGTTCCCAGGTTGTGCACGACAACTACCTCCTGTATGTGTTTGCTCCAGACCGCGAGAGCCGGCAACGCTGGGTGCTGGCCCTTAAGGAAGGTAACTCAATCTGTGTCATTGAACCCCTGGCAATTTTGGTCCCATGGTAGGCTTGGGTTCCACACTAGAACAGAGTGCAAGAGTAGCTGAGGGCCAAACATGTTTCCCTGCTAGTGTTCATGGAAGGTTCCAGGTTTTCACCCTGGACCCCCTAGGCAACAGCCAGTACAGTTCAGGTATTGGCCAAATCCAGTCCTCTGCCTGTTCTTAAAAGGCTTTGAGCCATATTTTTATATGATACATTTGAAATGGTTTCATAAATACCTATATCAGACCCTTGATTTTGTTGCATGGCCAGAAAAACCTAAAATATTCACTGTCTGGCTCTTTAAGAGTTTGCTGACTCCTGGGAACAGTGTGAGGAAACAAAATGCAGGCACTGGACTTAGATGACCTGGGCTTAAATCCCAGCCACTTACCAGGTACACTTGGATGAGTTCCTTAACTGCTCTGCACTTCAGTTTCCACGTTGTTAGAAAGGAGAAGGTTAGTGAATAATAGGACTGACCTCCAGAGCTGATGTGAACAGCAGTGAACTCCTGGACACTAGGTTGGCCACCGTCAACACCCAGTAGATTTTAACCATAGTGCTTTACAGTTTCTCAGGCCACCAATAAGAGTATTTCTTTAGCCTCACCTTCCTTACGGCACGGGCGCAGTTAGAAACAGCACAGTATTTAAGCATGTGGCTGCTAAGGTGAAAATCCCAGCTCTGCCTGTTGTTAGCACATGACCTTGATTAACTTCCTTGACCTTTGTGTGTGTCTTCATTTCCCTAGCTATACATTTTGAATAAAAACAGTCACAGGGTTGTGAGAATTCAATGAGTGAGGACAACGTGAGGCACTTGGAACAATACCCATCCCAAAGAAAGCACTCGATCAATATCACCATTATTGTTCTCATGCCTGAAGCCCTGGTGTGTCGGGCGTATTGGGGGTTCAACCGTGAATCTGTCTCTAAGTAGCTAAGAGAAGCAAGCTATTTGATATCTCTGGAGCCATGACTCCTATATCTGAAAAACAAGAATAAAAATACAAATTTATTCCTTGTCCAAGGTAGTTGTGAAGCTCAAGAGGGTTGTGAACAGGTAAGCAGGTAGAACAGTCATGGGACATGGATTATACTCCAAAGTAGAAAGCAGTCAAAAGGGCCCAGCCACGTTCATAGGAAGGGATTTTACACACAGGATGTCAGAGCTGGAAGGAGCAATAGAGATTAACTGTCTAGTTCTGTGGTTTTTAATGTACATTCTCCCCCCCCACACACACACACACTTTTTTTCCCTACTGAAAACTTACTTCAAAGCCACACATTTAGGAGGGATAAAAGCAAAGTTGCTGTGGCTGAAGATGGGAGATGTGGAGACGCAGAAGTCCCCCCTCAAATTTTCCATTACCTTAAGGCATCTTCCTAGAGCCTGGTGATCTAGTCTAACAAGTTCATTGCCTAATTGGGGAAACCAAGGCTCGAGTGAGAGTTTGCCCAACCTAAGGACACACAACTAACCCAAGGCAGAGCCAAATAAGAACCAAGATCTGCTGGTGCCTAACCCTAATACACACACCCTCCATGAATAGCACAATGAACCATGTGCTCAGGTAAAGGCCATCCTTCTGACTGGGGTAATATTCAGACTCTCACAGCAGGGTCCAACCTCAGCGGGTTATAAAATGGGTGGCCCTTGCTAGACTGACCTGGAAATAACTCTTCTGCCGATGCCACCCCCCTTTCAGAAACAAGAAATAATAACAGTTTGGTGTCCAAATATCACCCTAATTTCTGGATGGATGGGAGGTGGCGGTGCTGTTCTCAGCTGGAGAAGCTTGCAGTGGGCTGTGCCCAGTATGATCCAACCAAGAATGGTAAGAGACTGGGAATTCCTTTTCTTCTTTGCAAAATGGACGTAAAAGAGTAAATTCACTCTGTTTCCCATCATCCAGGAGCTTGGGGATGGAATGTAACATTCCACACTTTCAGAATTTTCAGAGAGAATCATCTGTTTTTCCCATCATCTATTGGTGCGTTTACATCTCAAAGTGGATGCCTTTACAGCTCCTGACTACTCAGAGTGTGCTCTTTGGACCAATAGCATCAGCATCACTTGGGAGCTAGTTAGAACCGCAAGTTCTAGCTGGGCTCGGTGGCTCAGCCTGTAATCCCGCGCCTTTGGGAGGCTGAGGTGAGTGGATTGCCTGAGCCCGCGGGTTCGAGACCCGCCTGGGCAGCAAGACCTCATCTCTTCAATAAACAAAAAAATCAGCCGGGCGTGGTAGCGCATGCCTGTAATTCCGGCTACTTGGAAGGCTGAGGTGGAAGGATCACCGGAGCCCAGCAGGTCGAGGCTGCGGTGGCCGGGAGGGGCCACTGCACTCTAGTCTGGGTGACAGAGTGAGACTCCAACTCAAAAAAAAAAAAAAAAGAAGAAATGCAAGTTCTCTGGCCCTACCTGAGACCTACTAGATCAGAATGTATATTTTACCAAGATTCTCAGAAGACGTGTGTGCCCAGAAAAGCCTGAGAGCTCTGCTAAAACATTCATGTCAGGAAATTCGAATGGCATGGTCAATTTAAATCTTAAATTGTAGAGACAGTCTTAAGAGATACGTAATGTTACTTGTCTCACAGTGATATTTCATCATACATATGTTTGATTACACAAATTAAATTCTCTACACTTAAGGGAGAATTTTTTTTTTCTTCAGTTGAAGTTTCACTCTGTCATCCAAGCTGGAGTGCAGTGGCATGCTCATGGCCACCGCAGCCTCTACCTGCTAGGCTCAGGTGATCCTTCCACCTCAAGCTTCCAAGTAGCTGGAACCATAGGCGTGCGCCACAATGCCCAGCTAATTTTTTGATTTATTGTAGAGATGAGATCTCACCAAGTTGTCCAGACTGGTCTTGAACCCCTGAGCTCAGGCAATCCTCTTACCTCGGCCTCCCAAAGTGCTGAGATTATGGGCCTGAGCCACCGTGCCTGGTCAAGGGAGGATTTTTTAAAAACTAGTTTACTCTGTGTCTTTTCCTTCCTTCCTTTCAAACTTGTCCTTGACCTTCACAATCTCAGAGACAAGAAGGCCACAGTCTAAATGTTAAGTGAAAACACTGGGTGAGGCTCACAGTAGCCGGAGGACAGACAGCTGCCCCAGAGAGGCTATGCAGGTTTGTTCTTTTGTACCTTTTCCATAGCTACAGTGAGAGCAGAAATCTCTTTAGGAAAAGTTTCATGAGAGAAAGGGGATAAAATTTACAAATTGACTAAAATTGGGTATATATGCTTATTGAAAGAATAAGCATATGTTTCTGTTTATTAAAAAATCTTCAAGTGTCCAAAACTGCTAACCTTAGACATGGATGTCAAGTGAGCGGCTTTTGCTACTGGGTGTGAGTGACCGCCATCTCTAGGGCAGGGTTGGCCACAGGCGCCAGGACACCCGGCTCCCTTGTGCTGCTCCAGCCCTCCCCACCGAGACCCCACAAAGCTCAAGGGGAGCACTTGGACCTTAGCTTCCCCGATATTAGGTTTGCCATGTCATCTGGAATAACACTTGAAATTTTGGTTTTTGTAAAAAAAAAAAAAAAAAAAAAAAAAAAACCAAGTTTTTAAATCTTCTGTTTAAATCACCAGTTATGTTTGTTTGCAAATTGGTAACTTTTTGCTTCTTCTCAAGAATATGATTTTCAACTGTCTTGCTCTTGATACAGACTGAGAAGCAGCACTCTGTATTTGTGGAAAAGTCCTTTCTTTTGCATTCTAATAAACAAGCCTCATTTGTTTCAAAAAGAAAAAAAAGAAAAAAGTTGTCCTTGGCCTTTGACATAAAAAGCACACACAGGTCCTAGGGACTGGGATACAGGTTGATTTTTTTAAGTGTTTAATTTTAGATTCACCAAGTGCACGTGCAAGTTTTTTACATGAGTTTATCGCATGATGGGGAGGTTTCCGTTAAACCTGTCACCCAAATAGTGAACATAGTACCCAATAGGTAGCTTTGCAACCCTTGCCCATGCCTCTCCTCGCTTGAGGAGTCCCGAGTGTCTGTTGTTCATCTTCATGTCCATGTAAGTTAGAACATAGTGTATCTGGTTGTTTATTTCGGAGTTAATTCACTTAGGATAATGGCCTCTAGCTGCACCTATGTTGCTGCAAAGAATATACGTTCATTTTTTTTTTAATGGCTTCGTAGTATTCCATGGCCTATATATAGGGGGTGCCAAAAGAATGTATACACATTTTAAGAAATGTTATCTATATATTACTTTTTGAAGCTAAATTATAGTATCAATTTGTAGTGTGACATTCACTCAACCGTGTTTCTGCCATTTCCTTTGACGGTCCTGTCTGTCGCATGGTGATGCTAGCACTCGTTTGATCCACGCCATCTTTTGAGCAAACGCCATACTTAAAGGTGCATACATTTTTTTGGCATCCCTTGTATACCACATTTTCTTTATTCAACCCATGGTACAACTTGGTTTTATTGACATCTTTGCGATCTTAACCTCCCATAGAGTGCAACTTCACTCTAGTTTGCTTTTTTATTTTTGAGTCAGGATCTCACTCTGTAACATAGTGACACGATTGTGGCTCATGGCAGCCTCGACCTCCTGGGCCTGTCACTGCTGTTCCTCTTCAGCGGTGCATGGTATTTCTCTCCATGGAGTGACAGACACATGACTGAGGTGATAGCATCTGGGTGACTCACCAGAACCACGCTCAGGGAAAGTGGCCATGCTGGGTTTCTCCCACACAAGCCAGGGCTGGCCACGCTCTGTCACGTCCATGGTGTGCCGGGCAGTCCCTCTGCTAATAGTTTTGCTTTTGTGTTGCAAACTCCCGCCATCTCTCTCTCTGACATTCTCCTTACTCCACCCCTTTCTGACTTGGTTAAATAACCTCACACATCAATTTTGGAACAATGGCGAGCAGAGATTTAGAGACACAGGATTCCTGGTGTTGGCCGCGTGGACAGGGCAGGGTCTAAGAGCATGGGACTTTGGAAGAAAAAAAAATCTGGAGGGAGTTCCAGCCCATTGTTTCCTTGCAGTGTGACTTTATCTATGCTACTTAGCCCCTCTGGACATTTTTTTTTTTTTTTTTTTTTTTATGAAGTTGTGGGGTACAGTTAAGGGTTAGGTATACAATTGCGTTTCATTCAGGCACCCTGTTGATATGGGGTGTTTCCCCGTTCCCAGACAGATATTTGCTACTGTTAATCCCATCTCCCTCCACCCACCATAGTTTCCCAGTAAGGTCAGTCATTTTCGTATAGTATGCATGGATGTTTAAGGTCCATTATATGAGTGAGAACATGTGATACTCGGATCTTTGTTTCTGTGAGAGGTCACTCAGTATTATAGACTCTAGTTCCATCCAGGTGGCTGCGAAATTCATGATTTTGTTCTTTTTTATGGCTGTATAGTATTCCATCATGTATATGTACCACATTTTTTTAATCCAGTCCTCTTTTGATGGGCAGCATGGCTGTTTCCAGGTTCTAGCTATTGTGAACAACGTTCACCTGTAAAATGGGGCTGATGATAACAGGTAGCTATTGCATGGGGTTGTTGGGAGACTCACCAGGGTTGTGGAAAGCGGAAGAGCTGCCAGCATAGGGAATTCTCAGCAAGTGATAGCCAGGTCTGCTAATCTTTCTTGCTTGTGGACGGGCGAACCCGAGGCTGAGATAATATGGTGCACATGTGTGTCCAGGAAGCAGCAGAAATGGCTGAGTAAAGAGATCCTGCCTCATCCAACCACAGCAACCCCCATTTCTGCAACCAGAGCTGGCCCTGACCTCCCACACAGAGGGAGAGGAAGGAGAGGAAAAGCAAGGCCAGAGGAAGAAGGAGGGACCAGTCAGGATGTCCAGGCCTGGAAGGGGTCCAAGGCCACCCAGCTCGTGCAGGGAGAATAGGGGTTAGAACACCAGTCTGCTGGCTCCGAGTTGAGCACTAAATGGGAACCATGCTTCCTATGGAGGGGGTCTGCTTCTTCTCTGTTCTTTGTACACCTAGTCTGTGCCCTAGCCTGCCCCTTCTTATAGGCTGAGCTCCAGCATCAAGGGGTCAGCCTCCTCAACCGCATCCCTGACTGTCCAGCCTCAAGTCAATCTTGTAAAGAGATGGGGGCTCACCAGCCTACCACGCCGCCCATCCCCTTCCTACCTCCAATTATTAAGGAATTCTTGTACTGAACTTAATAAACCTGTGCAGTGTCTCCCATATAACCCCAGACAGACACAAAAACCCACAGCGTAGGTCCACTGAGTCCAGGCCTGACCTTGGTGGTGTCACAAAGGAAAAATAGTGAGAGACAGAGATGAAGATATGAAGGAAGGAGAGAGGGAAATGGAAGGAGAAAAGAGGGAAGAAGAAGAGAGCTAAAGAGGGGGAGACATGCAGACGCAAAGAGATACGCAGAAATAGAGAGAGAGAGAGAGATTGGGGGTGTTGTTTGGGGGAAACAGAAAGAACACATATTCAGATGCCCTTAAGAAGACTGAAAGTGGATTCCAGCCTCAGAAAGCAGCAATGACCTCCCACCTCATCCACCCCCTTCTCAAGGCCACAGCAACATCAGGAAGCCAGTGAGTCACTGTCCCCCTGAGTCACCGATTCCTACCCCTGGGCTTAGCAGGTGGCAGAGACATTCCTGGAAGTCTCTGTGCCTACAAGGAAGGGTACAAGTCTAACCCTCTGTCAGGCTTTCCTGGGCCCAGAATATGGACTTCTGGAAGCTTCTGGCCTCTCCTAGAAAGGGAGTTAGGACCCAGCAAGCTGGAAGATAAAAAACAGGCTGATTTGGACTTCAGAGTCTTATCGTCTCCTTTTTGCCCCTTTTCTTCTGTTGTTCTCCCTGGGCCCCTTTTCTCTGAAAAGCCCCCCAGCCACTCACCTCCGGTTGGGGTTCATGCTCATTTTTTCTTTTTCTGTTTTTCTTGTTTCAGCTTCAAAGAAGCCTCTTCCTCCTACTCCCGAAGACAACAGGGTGAGTGAGAGGCCGAGCTCTGTGTGGGTGGGCCCACAGACAGCCCAACTGGCATGTTCTCACATGTGTCTTCCCGTCTGCCTATATTTCTCAGACTCTGGGTGCATGTAGCAGACCGTCATGACCCAGTTGAACTCAACACACTAGCTATCTTGGACCTGAACTGTCTTGTGGGTCTGTCCACTAAAGGGACCACTCAGCTGCTAAATCTGCACCCCACTTTATTCACTCAACAAACGCTTACAGATATCAAACTGTGTATCTGGTCACATGACCACTTTGGAGTATCATAGCAGGTCAATCTATATAAAAGTATGTATTCTATGCCTTGACATACAAACACTTTGGAGACACACATTTGATAATACTTTATATACTTTAGGACACTTTCACACCTATCTTTTTTAGTTATTTATTTTTTGAGACAAGGTCTTGCTCTGTCACCCAAGATGGAGAGCGGTGGTGCGATCATAGCTCACTGCAGCCTTGAACTCCTGGCTCAAGTGATCCTCCTGCCTTAGCCTCCCAAGTAGCTGTAACTCCACATGTATGTCCCAACTCCCAGCTAATTTTTCCATTTTTTTGTAGAAATGGGGTCTCGCTATGTTGCCCAAGCTGGTCTCCAACTCCTAGCCTCAAGCATTCCTCCTGCCTCAGCCTCCCTAGGTGTGAGCCATCACACCTGGTCTACCGTCTATTTTAAAACTTACTATCTGTTCTTTTCACTTCAGAGGGTCATAGTTTTATTCTCATTGTAAAGCTTGGGAAATTGAGTCCCAAGAGAGGCTTTCCCAAGGTCATTCAGCAAGAGTAGGATGCAGTTCCTGGTCTGGTGGTCTTTAACTTGAGTGGTGGTTCTCAAATTATGGTCCTTGAATTAGAAGCATCAGCATCACCTGAGAGAATGTTAGCAATGCAAACTCTCAGGTCCCCACTGAGAGAGACCCGCAGCCTCCAAAACCTGGGGGAAGGGCCAAGCAATTTGCACTTCAATAAGCCTCCAGGGGATTCTGAGGTGCACTGAAGTTTGAGAACTGGCCTATAGTATCCTGACTTACACATCTTGGATGGTATAATACCTACTCAAGGGAAGCTTATTCTGTCAAGGAGATGGAAAAAAAAGATTGGGGAAGGATCATGGCCCTCAAGTGGGAGAATATGACCCTACCTTATACTAACACCAGCACCCACATTGGAGTGCTTTATCCCAGAACCTATGGCTTCTGCTTCCCCATGCTTCTTCCTGAAGGATGAGCTCTGCCTTTTCCCCTTCAGCCAACATGGTGACATTTCAAATCTGGTAGCTTCCTCATAAAGGAAGCTCTAAATCCTCAAAGCCCCAGGCTGCTGTTTAGATCTGTCATCAGTGACTCCCTCACAGCAGGAAAGAAATGCACTTAAATGGCAGCAGAAAATTGTTCCTTGACCCTCCAAAGATATCTCCCTATCTCCCTTGAAGGCATGGGTGGGAGTCTCACTGCCCTCCCTTGCAGACGGTTCTAGGTGGGTCCCACCTACATCCTACACCTCTTACCTCCAGCCAGTCTGCTCTTGTATTATTTCCAGCATAAGTGAAGGCGAAAGCCAGAAAATGCTGCAGGTTCATTTCTCCCGGGATTCTGCCCTGTGGGTTTCAGACATCTTGGGGGAGCACTGTGGATACTGATTGTTTTGAGCACTCTGACCCCAGGGGTTTGGGGATCATTCTAGTTTCAACTACTCATCTAAATCCATTGCAACGTTTCTCCAACTCTGAGTCACTTGAAGTCATTTTTTTCTCCCCTTGTCCTGTCACCTGAGAGGTCGTGACATCTGGGGTTAGCACACAGAGAAGCCATGTTTTTAACCCAGTCTGAGCCCACAGGCCTCATGTTCTGTGTGATAAAGACAGTGGAGCAGGGTCGGTCCTCCAGAGGGTCGGGGTGGGTCAACATGAAGAATATCTATGGTCATAGTATCCGACAGTCCTAAGCATCTCCAGACTGTCTGTACAAACAAAGTGCTTTTCACATTGAAGTCCAGATTCCGATTCCTCTTGGCCCTCTGCATCCTTGGGAGCTCAGCTCTTCCTTTATGGCTCGGCTCAGCCAACCCAGAAGGGCTTCCTGAGGAGCCACTAGAATGTGTCTGCATGAGGCCTTCTCCCTGGCACCCTAGTTAGGCACCCTAGCCTCACTACTGCTATCTGGGCTCTCTGGAGGCCCCCTCAGCCCAGTGGAGCTCTCCCCAGAGGAGACCAGAAGAGCTTTTGGGGGCCAGGGTTGTTCTGAGCCCTGCAACAGAGTGACCAGGAGCAGGAGACCCTCATTCACTCCATGCCTCTCCTCATCACCTAGGCCCCCAGGTAACCCCTAGCTGAGCCCACAGACTCTCGGTTTCTTCACATGCATCCCTTGATTTTTTCACTCCAATCTAGCAGCTTCCAACCCTATCAGACCCAATGTTCCCTTTTTATGGCAAATCTTTTGTAAAACTCCTTTTGTTGCCCTGAAAATAAATTCATACATAACTCAACTTACATTAACACATTTTTTAAAAGAATCAGCACATGCTATAACTGTAATATTTAAAAAGGAAAAGAAAAAATAATCTACCCAACATAATATGTCTTTCTATATATAAATATTGGGATGTGACTGCCCTGGAAGACAGAATGAAATAGTCAATTACCTGTACCTATAGGAAGAATCCCATTGAATTTCACAGCTCAAATGCAACTGACACAGGAATGTTATATTGGTACCTCAGATAGAATCTTACTACCTGTGATATGATTTTCCAAAATGATAAACAACTTTTGGTAAAGTTCTGAACTAAATAAGGTGTAATATTCCCTCAATGTACAAAGTAATTGCATTCCTGGGAAACTTTCTATAGGGTATAGGTAGGTTCTAGTCTCAGGACCCTCTCATATGTTATAATTACTATATAAGTAAATTTCTCACCACATGAATGTCTGATAGGAATTTCAAAACTTATAGGAAATCTGGGACCCTGCAGAGCATTTTGCAGTCTTAGCCATCACCCATTACATACCTGTAACACACCTCAAACTTGTAACATTCAAAATACCTCCACAGATGTCCAATATAGAATACCACCATAATCTGAGGACCCTACTCTGACCTTCCTCTTCACAGGGCTTAACCAATGAGTTTACCTATAGTGAGATGAATACCATGCCATAGTTCTCTGTATTAGTCCATTTGCATTGTTATAAAGAAATACCGGAGACAGGGTAATTTGTAAAGGAAAGGAAAGAGGTTTGTTTTGGCTCATAGTTCCTCGTGGCGCCGGCATCTGCTGGGCTTCTGGTGTGGCCTCAGTAAGCTTACAATCATGGAGGAAGGCAGAGAGAGAGGAGGTGTGTCACATGGCAAGATGGGAGCAAAAGGAGGAGGAGGTGGGGCCAGACTCATTTGAACTAATAGAGCAAGAACCCACTCATTACCTCATGAAGGGCAACCAGGAATTCATGAGGGATCTGCCCCCACGATCCAATCACCTCCCTCTAGGGATCTCATCTCAACATGATAATATCACACATATTTGGAGAGTACAATAATCCAAGCTCCATCATGCTCCTTCATCTCCTTCAAGTGCCCTTGAACATAATTCCCCCCTTCATTATTCCTTAGGGCAAAAGCCTCAGGCCACCACCTCTTGTCTGTCGCACCCCATACACATCACCTCATAAGCTCCACAAATATCTGGACCTCAAATTTCAATCTGGGCTCAGCTGGGATGACAACACTACACCAGTATGACAAGACTTTTTGGTTTTTCAGTTCTAGTATTTGTATGCTGCCAAATGCTTCAGTGTACTCAGAGAACTTGTGACTTCCCTGCACGGAATCACATTCTAGCCAGCAGTTCAATCTTTTCCCAAATTTACTCTCTCATAAAATCTGCCAGCCTGCAACAGGTGTGCCCATCCTGAATTCTGGTGATGGTTTGCTTTATGGGCTTTTCTTCAGATCCCCAATATCTCATCCTAAGAAAGGTAATGAGGATAAGAGACATTGGCAAGAGAGTCTACGAGAGAAAGGAAGGAAGTCAGGTGCTAGAGTGAAGAGAGTATTAGGACTAATTCAAGCGCTAAATTGGCCATGTTCAACTCCCCTTCGGGGCCTCAGTTTCCCCCTCCTGAATGAAAGAGTGGTTTAATGATCTGTCAGAGGAATCCCAGCTGCCGTGACCTGTGATTCTATGGATTTGGACAAACACACCAATAATATCAGCAAAGCATGGGCTGGAAGGCTTGGTGTTGACTGCATCTCCTCTACGAAGAGCATGAATCTTCTAGCAGAGAATCTGAGGTGTATGATACAGTGCAGGTAGAGGGACCAGCAGAATTTTGTGAAATGCACGTGGCTGCTTGGAATTCACTGTGGTTGGAATTCACTTCATAGCTTAGATGAATCCCAAGCACTAATGTCTTTGTGTTATCTTCAGCACCATAATTCTAACTCATAAGGCAAGTCCGCTAGAGGAAGTCACATTGTGTCCACAGACACCCCGATGGGTGGTACGAAGTGGCGTGGGCCTGGCCTAAGACCAGGAGCAAGGGATGGCTCAGGGACCTGCTGATCTTGCTCTGCATGTCACCTCCCTTTTAATGACTTTGCTGGTTTTGACGTCTCCCTCTTGCAGCGGTCACTTCGGGAACCTGGAGAAACTGTGGTCATCGCCTTGTATGACTACCAGACCAACGACCCTCAGGAACTCACGCTGCAACGCAATGAGGAATACTGCCTGCTAGACAGTTCTGAGATCCACTGGTGGAGAATTCAAGACAGGAATGGGTAAGGCATCTCTGTGCTTGCTGTCCCCGCATTTGAGGTGTGGTCAGAGCAAAGAAAATACCTGAATGATTTGTCCTGCCTCCCCCAGCGTGACCACTGCACTGAGGTTGGAAAGAGGAGCGGAGGCCGAAGGAAGGGGGAAGAAGAAGACATCACTGAGCGTCTTTCCTCTTCCTAGAAGTGGCTGGGCAGCTGTCACATGCTGTGCTCACTCTTGCAGCCTGGCTTGAGCATTCCAGCCCCAAGTCCCCCGGGTTTTTCTGCTGTCATCTACAATTTAGGAGATTGGCCACCTGTTCTGCAAAGCGCTCTTGTTCTGCAAAACACTCTTGTTCTTTAGTGTTAAGTGAGGTTGAAGGTACATCCTGTTATGAAGTGCTTTATTTTTGTTGGAAAGAAAAGGTGTGAAGATGGCAGTTAAAGCCATATAGCAAGGGTGAAGTTGGTGGCAGTCTCAGGAATAGGTCCATTGCTTTTAAGTTCTGCTTATATCAAGAAGGGGCGATTTTGCGTATCCTCAAGCTACACTGAAGGCATATATATATATATATATATTTTTTTTTTTTTTTAGTTGTGATCTCTCTCTGTCACCCAGGCTGGAATGTAGTGGCACGATCATGGCTCACTGCAACCTTGACTTCCTGGGCTCAAGTGATCCTCTCGTCTTAGCCTTCCCAGTAGCTAGGACTACAGGCACACACCACCACATCCTGCTAATTTAAAAAAAATTTTTTTTGTAGAGACAAAGTCTCTTTATGTTGCCTGGGCTGGTCTTGAACTCCTGGGTTCAAGTAATCCTCCTGCCTTGGCCTCCCAAAGTGCTGGGATTACAGGCATGAGCCACCACACCTGACCATAGATGATGATGATTATTTTTTGAATTGAGGACTCTGTCTCCCAGACTGGAGAACAGTGACACAATCATGGCTCACCATAGCCTAGAACATCTAGGCTCAAGCGATCCTCCTGCCTCAACCTTTCAAGTTGCTTGGATTACAGGCACAGGTTACCATGCCCAGCTAATTTTGGGGGTTTTTTTTAAGGCGATGGGGTGTCACTATGTTGCCCAGGTTGGTCTGGAACTCCTGGGTTCAAGCAACTCTCCCGCCTCAGCCTCCCAAAGGGCTGGAATTATAAGCATGAGCCACCATGCCCAGCCAGATATTAATATCCATGCAATATCAAACAGATTCAGCAAGAGCGAGGACTGCCTGAAGTTTTTGTTTTGCATAATCCTCCCTGAAAATGAGCTGGGACTTACAGGGAAGTCCCTGCATCTCTACAACAAGCCCCAGGTGACAGTTGGACCTATGATTCAAGGAGAAATCTCCACCATTTAGGGTCTGGTAGCTTATCAGGGATGATTGTGAGTTGTTAAAATCGTGGCCTCAATCATTTCATTTCAGCTATCTTCAGCAGCTATGTGGATAGACTATTTTTATTACTCTGTTTAATTAAAGCTTATTCATTTCTGGTGCTTGGCTAGCTCCTTATTGATGGCGATGGCAATAGTCCACTGAGAGCCTACTGGCTCACGGAAGACAGTTTTTATATTACCATACTAACTATATACAGGTACAATTTTAATGTATTTTTCATTATAGACTTATAATTTCCTACATTTATTTCCACATCTAAAGACCAAAAAAAGTAAACTATTTTACCCTGCCTTGAAAAATAGAGCTAATAAATATAATTAGGCTCCCTTTCCTCATTTTTTTCCTTTACTTTCTTTTTAGGGAAAGGGACAGCATTTTTTTTAAAAATGAGATAACATTTACATTCAGCTAATGCACACATCTTTTTTTAAACTTTAATATGAAGTCAAGAATATGATTCATCTTCATTTTTATGAGTGATAGAATGCATTCAATACTTAAAATGTGTTTGGATAGTCAAAGTGATGGTCTAAGCATTTCTCTTCTGTGAGTGCCCTTTGCCGAATGTTCAATATTATTGTTCATCTGTCAAGGAAACTGGTCTGTGTCTAGTCTTGGGTACCCCCAGCACTGCTTAGAGATAAATAAAATTGAATTCTGAATGCACACATCTTACATGCATTATGACAAGTGTGTATAGCCTTGTAACCAACACCCAGTTAAGGTAAAGGCAGGTCCATCTTCCCAGAAACTTCTCTTGTGCCCCTTCGAGTTAGTTCCTCTCCTCTCTAAAGCCACCGCTGTTTGAATCTGTAACAATATATGTTGCTTTTTGGCTCTCCTTGAATATCTATAAATGGAATTATACAGTATAGGATGTTTGAAGTCTGTATACTCTAGCTCCATGTGATTTTGTTTGGGGTTACTTTTTGAGTTGGTGTCTCACTCTGCTCCCCAGGCTGGAGTGCAGTGGTACAATCTTGGCTCACCAAAACTTTGGCCTCCTGGGCCCATGCAATCCTTCCACCACCACTTCCTGAGTAGCTGGTACTATAGGCATGCAACACGATGCCCGGTTTTGTTGTTGTTGTTGTTTGCAGAAATGAGGTTTTGCTATATTGCTTAGGCTGGTCTTGAACTCCTGGGCTCAAGCAATTCACCTGCCTTGGTCTCCCAAAGTGCTTGAATTACAGGTAGGAGCCACCACACCTGGCTCCATGTGATGTTTTTTAAATGCATCCATGTCAGCTCTGCATTCTAGCCTGCTGGAAGTCTCTCTTGACTCTCAGCTCCATCTCCTCCACTGCAGGAGTGAACTGGACTTTGCCTGGCCTCTCCCCTTCCTGCTCTATGGCATGGACATCTCTCAAGACAGGAAGTGGGGGCCATCTTGGGCCTCACTATGTCCATCTTCTCTCAGAACCACTGTCCTTCTTTGCCTGATGTCCAGTGTCTTGAGAGCCATTGTTTCACATGTTGTCTTTTTCCTGCTTGTATCAGGCCAATTGTAGTTCCAATCTTTGTTACTCCATCTAGATTGAAAATGGACATCAACCCAATTCTTTCTACCTGACTTCACCTTTTCACTGTGAGATGAAGGTGAAGACATAACAGATAATGTGCTGTTCTGCAAGTTATACACTCCAGGGATGATTTGGAGCTCTAGGAATTAAAAAAATGCAAAAGGAGACGGTGTGGTGGCTCATGCTTATAATCCTAGCACTTTGGGAAGCTAAGGCAGGAGGATTGCATGAGGCCAGGAGTTCAAGAACAGTCTGGGTAACATAGTGAGACCCTTCTGTACAAAAAAATTTAAAAATTGGTCAGTCACTTGAGAGGCTGATTAAAAATTTTTTTTTTTAAACCACACAGATGCAAATAACTTTGAGCATGACCTTTGGTGCTGCCTACTTGTGAATGCTTCTTTTGTAACCATCTTACCTTGTGGAACTTGCCTGTCATGGGATCATGTTGTTCCTCTCAGCTTTGCTGGTGTCTCTGGATTCAGTTCACTACCTGCTTAGATATACCAAACTTGCAAAATGGCACTTGTTTGATGGAACTTCTGATCTTGTTACCTGAGCAAGTCAGTTCTGATGATGCCTTTATTTAAGCTTTATTCAGCCAGGCATGGTGGCTCATGCCTGTAATCCCAGCACTTTGGGAGACTGAAGTATGAAAATCACTTGAGTCCCGGAGTTTGTGACCAACCTGGGCAACATAGCAAGACTCCATCTCTATAAAAAAAATCAAAACAGTTAGCCAGGCATGGTGCCTATAGTCCCAGCTACTTGGGAGGCTGAGGCAGGAGGATTGTCTGAGCCCAGGAGTATGAGGTATACATGAGCTGCAATTGTGCCACTGCCCCCCAACCTGGGCAACAACAACAACAACAGAAAAAGATAAAGTGAATAAAGTAAAAAGTAAAAAAGCATAGCACCCCTCCCCTCACCAATAGCAATGTAGGTACTAGAAATTATAGTATAATTGATGGTAACAAAAGTAGTTACTCTGTGGCGAACATGAATCTAAATCTTTTGAATTCAGGTGAGTTTTCATCACCAATCTTTCCTTGAGGCACTCAAAAGACATTGGCAGTCAAGAGCCCAGACTTTGCAGTTTGAACATAACTCTGAATCTTTGCCCCCAATGTCATATAAGGACATTGCTTACCACCAAAGAAATATTAATTCTATGGGAGAATGCACCTGTGTTTGGCACTGATACTATTAATTGGGGTCCAGAGTCTGTGAGATGACCTGTTAACCTGTAGATTTGTGTTCAGTAGAGATACACGTTTAGTAGAATAGGAGGAGGGATTTTTGCCCTGTATTTCCCAATTTTAAATCTAACCTAAATTTGTATTTTTTTTTTTTTTTGAGTTGGAGTCTCACTCTGTTGCCCAGGCTGGAGTGCAGTGGCATGCTCACAGCCACTGCAGCTTTGACCTGCTGTACTCAGGTTATCTTTCTGCCTCAGCCTTCCAAGTAGCTGGAACTATAGGCATGCGCCACCATGTCCGGTTAATTTTTTGATTTATTGTAGAGATGAGGTCTTGTCAAGTTGCCCGGGTTGGGTCTCGAACCTGTGAGCTCAGGCAATCTTCTCACCTCAGCCTTCCAAAGTGCTGGGATTATAGGCATGAGCCACCACGCCTGGTCAATTTGCATTTTAATATTCTTTTTAGTGCTTGTAAATATCCAGCTCTTCAAATATTCTTTTGCCATCTTGTTGTTTCTCTTGTTAAAGAGTTAATAAATCCAACATACATTCAAAAAAAAAAAAGTGTGTAGAGATGTGTAGATTAGTGGTTATATTAGGACACGTCAGAAGATATAAAGGACTTAGTTATAATCGCAGTCATAGTCATGGAACTAGCCATCCAAGAGATTCACGGGGAAAATAAAGTTGCACAAATACCAGTTTTCTGCTATGGGATTATTTTGGTGAAAACAATCTTTTGAGCATGAAATTTATCCTGCCTTATAAGGCTTTTTTTTTTTTTCCTTTTAATATAGCAGAGGGCCCTGGCATGGTGGCTCAAGCCTATAATCCCAGCACTTTGGGAGGCCGAGTTGGGAGGATTACTTGAGCCCAGAAGTTCAAGACCAGCCTGGGCAA